GGTTGAGTACCTGCCCCCAAGAACCTGCGCTGTGGGGATCTTGAGGCAGAAGGGATGCTTGCAAAGGGGAGTTGTCACTGAGAGATCAAAGGGAGGGAGGGAAGTAAGTGCAGCTTTGGAGAAGACTGACGGTTCCAAGGACAGCAGCAGAGAGAAGGAAAGTGAGGTTCTGACTTTCCCTCTTGGCATCTCCCAGTTGGTTAGCTTATCTCCTGGGCAGCTCTTGGACGAATTCAGGCTGGATTTCACATAGACAGGCTTCTCCTTGCTTCTGCCCACTGTCCTCAGTTCCAGCTGTTACTCCGGCAGGTGTCCTCATCTACCACTGAGGCACTATAGGGAAGCCATTTCGCAACCAACTCTTGTGACCAAGGGCAGATGTAACTAGCTGGTGATTCATCTCAGGGAACAGAGGTTTCCAATGCCCTCCTGGATCAGGACCCATAGCCTTAGGGGGCTGTTGCTAGTACTGCAAGGGCCCTTAAGGGCTGTACAAGTTCACAAGTTGGTCTCTTCTCCAATCACTTCTGTTCAAGCCCAAACATGTTTCTTTGTTTTCTTCAGTCAATAAAACATTCCAAAACGTGTTGCTCACCATTTAAAAAATACTAGCTTTGTTGAGCTATAATTCACATACTATACAATTGACCTATTTAAAGCATACAATTAAATGATTTTTTTTTTTAAATGGTTAGGGCTGTGCAACCTCCCCCCAATCGATTTTAAAACATTTTCAGCACCTTGGAAAGAAATCCCACACCTATTAAGAGTCACTTGTTTCCTCCAAAACCCCCATCCCTGGTCAATCATCAACTCACTTTTCTATCTATAGATTTACCCATTTGTGAACAACTTATAAGGCATAAGCATAATATATATAAAATGAATTTTCTATAACTGAAATTTCATTTGGCATAATGTTTTCAAGTTTCATCAGTATTATGTGTTGTTACTTCACTTTTTGTATTGCCTGATAATATTTGCCCATCCATGATAAATATTTTGTTTCTACTTTTTGGCTATTTAAATAATGCTTCTATGTGAACATTCATGGACAAGTCTTTGTATGGACAGAGGTTTTCATTCCTCTTGGGTATAAACCTAGGAGTGCCACTGTGCATCATGGTAACTCTGTCTAACCATTATGAGTACCTGCTAGACTCAAAGCAGCTGCACCACTTTACATTCCCACCAGCAGTGTAGGAGGGTTTGAAATTCTCCATCTCTTCATCAACATGTTTTTTATTATAGCCATTTTAGTGGCTGTAAATTATGTGCTATCTCCTCTTGGCTTTGGATATGCATTTTTCTGATACCTGATGAAGCTGTTCATCTTTTCCCAGGTTTATTAGTAAGTTGCATATATTCTTTGGAGAAATGTTTATTAAGATCATTTGCTCACGCTTTAATGGGGTTAACTTTTTCAATGAGTGGCAAGAGTTCTTGGAAAGTAAGAGTTCCTTATCAGGTAAACAATTTTCAAAAATTCTTTCATTCCATAAATTATCTTTTCGCTTTCTTCATGGTGCCCTTTGAAGCACAAAATTTTCCAAGTTTGATGATGTCCAGTATCTCTATTTTTTGTCATTGTAGCTTATGATTTGGAGATCATTTCTAAGAAACCATTTCCTAATCCAAAATCTTGAAGATTTGTACCTATGTTTTTTAAAAGCATTTTATACCTTAAGCACTTACATTTAGATATTTGATTCATTTTAATTTTTGTGTATGGTGTGAGGTAGGGGAGTCCATTCTTTGGCATGAAGATACCCAGTTATTCTAGCACATCTGTTGAAAAAGTTCTTTCCCCATTATTTTGTCCAAATTATTTTTCCCAAAGACAATTGACCATAAATGTAAAGATCTTGTATTTTCTAAGAATATTTTCATGATAGCTATGCAGAAGTGTTCATATCATATTATAGTATGCTGCTGACGATTATTCAGATTGAAGAAATGACAGACCTTTTTATTCTAGTTCATTTTGAAAGAGGAGACAAATTCTAAGTAGTTAACTAGTCTCAATTTATACATTAATTCAGACAAAATTATCATCAGCCATGTGTTTTGGACCTGAGCCCAAACAGTTTGATGAACCAGAATCTCATCTGATATGACTTTAGCAATCTATTTGAGAAGAATCTCCTAATGTCTTATACTTTGGTTTTCTGTCATTGAATGGAATGCCTCACAGGTAGTTTTTGACGATTCTGGACAGACTGATCATCTTCTCAAAGGACAGCCAGGTGGTAGGGTCAAGGAGAAAACCTGCTCCCCATGGGGCTCCCAACTATCATTTTTAATTTCTATACTCTGCCCTTCTGCCCAGTTCCACTTCAAAAATAGCAGGCAGCTTTGGCAAGAAGTCACTGGTTGCAATTTATCAGCAAGCTTTGGACACAGCTGTTTCCCATCTTTTGGCAAAGTCAGGGATTTGGCTTCTCTCCTAGATGGGATAAAAATTTTGTGGAGGGTGTCAAAAAAGACACATTCCAGGGGCACACAAATGTCTCTTAATTTACTGCTAATAAGATTCACTGTGGAAAAAATATGGATGAGACTGTATATGCAATCCTCAAAATTAGCATAAGTATCAACTGTCGCACATAGATATGGATATAGATAGATCTGTATATAATGTAAACAAGACTTTGCAGTCTTTAGAATCTCCCATATCAGAATCTCTGGATGGGCAGAGGACTTTTAAAAATTAATATTCCCGAGTCCCTTTTGAATCAGAAATTATGGGGGGACGGCTTTGCCTGTAAAATAAAGGTGATTCTCCCACCTCCCTGGCTTGAGAGAGGTAGTATACAGTAGACTTGCAGATGGAGCCCAGAATGTGGGACAATGAAGAGATTGAATAATGATTCCCATTTCACGGGGCCCCTATAAAGATGAAACGACACAACATGCAGAAAGGTTCTACAGTTGTCTGGCACCATGCACAATGCACACCTATTTCTGGCACAGTACCATCTGCCTCATCTCCTCATGCCCCTCTCAATAGCCACATTAGTTACATTCTTGATTTAGGAATCAGCAATCAGCCAAGTGCTAAGCCACTAGCATAGTGAGCCTAATAAGCAGAAAACTCTGACAAACAGAAAAATAGGGCCCACTCAGGGACCAGCACTGCCATCCAATGAGCAGGGGTTATCTACTCGGTGTTGTAAGAGGTTACCCCATGGGGTCAGGATTATGGGGTCATTAACCATTACTTCTGCCTGCAACCAACCAGGTATTTGCTGCACAGATTTAAATTGTATTTCCTAGGTTTTTGTTTTGTTTTAAGACTCAATCTTAGAAAACTTGCAAAATACAGAATACAAGAGAAAAATAATTTTTCCCTCATCATCCAGAGATATATGCTCTGTGTAGGAGCCCAGAATATGCCATTCCAAAAATATGCTGCTTTGCCATAAAGACTATTTAGAGCTGAAGGAAATTAAATTTTTTAAAAAAAATTTAAATATACTCCTTAAGCTAAAAAAACAAAAACAAAACAAAAAAAACTATGTCCTCTAAAAGTAGCACAGCCAGGCATGGTGGCACACATCTGTAATCCCAGCAGTTCAGGAAGCTGAGGCTGGAGGATTACAACTTCAAAGCTAGCCTCAGCAATTTAGTGAGACCCTATCTCAAAATAAAAAATAAGGGCTGGAGAAGTGGTTCAGAGTAAAGTATCCATGGGTTCAATCAAAATAAATAAAAGTAGGATATAAATTCTTGGATTCGGAGGTTTAAAAAAATAAGTTATAATTTTGGTTTAGCCATCAATGAAAAGCGAAAACGCCAGACAAATGAGAGATGTTTAGTCTGTTTATAGAAGCCCCTAGGAATGGAGGGGCTGCTGACAGGGAAGGACTAGCCATTTGCTTCTAGGCCACACCAGATCTGCCTCAGCCTGGCTGACTTCATGAATGTGTAACGCAGCTGCACAGGGACACCCACCCCCGCAGGGCTTAGCAGAGGCCCTGACAGATTTGATGTTCTGCAAGAGCATCTTAAAGTTCTTAGTAATTTTGTCTTTGAATTCAAGTTTTGTTAAGTGAAATTCAATGCCACAGAGTGCACAGCCCTTCTAAATCAAGCACCTCACTGTCGTCTTGCTGGTGGAGTAGCCTGTGCCCCCCACCTGGCTGCTCCTACTTCTCAGTGGCTACTGCAGGACCTCTGTCCACTTAGCGCCTCCCTCATGCTTTCTAGGCCCTTTTGTCTTCCCAATCAGATACTTTTCATCTTTCATGAATTCCTCAATGTCATCTTCTGCTTGCTTTTCAGTGAGGCTATTTGTTTAAATTTCTTTAATTTCTTGTCATTTGTTATGGGAGGCACTTGTGTGTAGTTCAACACTGAGATGGAGTTATTGAAATAATATCTATATCACTTTCAAATCAGTAATCTCTCTTCTAGCTATTTATACCAAGGAATTAAGAATAGAGCTTTAACCAGGTGTTGTGGCTCGTGCCTGTAATCCCAGTGACTCAGAAGGCAGAGGCCAGAGGATCACAAGCTCAAGACCAACCTCATCAATTTCGTGAAGCCCTAAACAATTTAGCAAGAACTTGGCTCAAGAAATAAAGAATTTTTAAAAAGCAGCAGAGAATCTTTAAAAGTATTTTTTAGAATGACTTTAACCACAAGGAGTTTCATCCCAGTAACATTTATTATTAAAAAGGGGAAACAAATATTCAATCAGAAGAGACTAGTTAAATAATGGTGATACATCCTTACAACATAAGTGTGAAAATAATATGGCTGAATAGTTCATGATATGGGAAATCAATGTCTCAAGTGAAAATTTCAGGTCACAAAATTATTTTTATTAAAAAAAGAACACATTCTTATAGAAAAGGACAATTCTGCATGGTGGGATTTCTGGTGACTTTTTTTCCTTTCTCTTTTTTTTTTTTTTAACTCTTTCTCCTAAATTTGGAATTGTTTACAATAACTGCCATGTAAAAGCCTCTGGTGCCACCCTCTGCTTACCTCCTCAGGTGTGCTGGAAGATGGACTGTCCTCTAATGGTGTTCCCCGACCTACAGCCCCAGGTGGAATATCCAACCAAGAGAAGATGATGAACTGTGGGACCCAGTGCCAGAATTCCCAGAGCCTCAGCTCAGGCCCTTTGACCCAGAAACAGAATGGCCTTTGGACCACAGAGGTAGGGCTGCAACCACAGAATCGGCTCGTGACTGGAGAAGAGAGGTGGAACTTGCTCTAGGTCAGGACCACCCAGACTGTCCAGGGAAGGAGCACCTCAGCAATAGATATTCTCCACCCTTTCCCTATAAAATTACTGTAAACCTCACTCCAACCTCTGCCTGGAGGGTTGCCATTTTTGTTGAAACAGCAGAAATGGGTCCTTGATATTTGTGCTCTAAAAGAAGTGTTGTGTTTAAGCACCGCTTTGTTCAAGTGACTTCTTCTCTAGGGCAGCCCGTGTCCAGGCAGCCTGTCTCCAGGCAACAGGCCAGTCTCAGGTTGGCAGGGTAGGGAACAGGGAGAGGATGAAGGTATAAGACCAGTGTGGTAGTGACCACACACCTTCCAGCCAGGTGGGCAGTGGAAGTTTCCCCAAAGATGGTCCTCATTAGAATGTGTGATGGCATCACTCCAAAATGCTGCTGTTGGAAAGGAGGCAGGGCTCTGGTATCCCTGAAGTTGGCTGGCATCCTTTCTAAACCTTTTTCACCCAGAGTTGTTGTTGAGAAGTGTTCCTTCTGCCACCATCAGGTCCTCCCGTGGGTGTGACAGGGCACAGGCCAGAATCCTGATGGTAGGCCAGGCTCAAGGGGCTGCAGTTTCTTCCTCCCCCTCCTCCTTCTAGCCTCCCTCCAAATTCCATCTTCCCTATGCCTCTCTTCTCCGCTCTCCTGCTAAAACTCACTAGTCCGATCCCTTCAGGCCCATGCCACCCGTTTTCTGAAGGCACAGTTTGCTGTCGAATGATAGAATTCTTGCTCACATCGGTGAGCTGCTTGTCTAAATCTTTGGTCAAAAACTTCTTGCCACTTCAGCCTAATATTCATTAACTAAGGAGCCTGGCAGAAATCAATCTCTGAATCTCAGGTTCCTTATCCACATAGTCTAAATAAAATTACTAAAATGAGTCAAGAGATGGGCCTGCGGTTACCAACAAAGATGTATATAACAAGGGCAGTGCAGTTTAACAAAGGATAGTTCAATATGTGACACCACAACCCATAAAAGGAACACTGGAGCCCTTCAGACACTGTGAAGGCAATGGGAGTTAATTCTGAGCACAACAGTGGCTTCCTAGGGTCCTTTATTGTCCGCTTTGCCTCTGCAAAGCTGGCCTTCTGTAGACCTGATCACTTTGCCATCTCTCAAGGCATTCTGGGTCTGAGAACCATGCTCAGAAATTTGGTGACAGTTCTAATGCAGGCCCAGACATTTGTCCCCTAGCCTCTTCCCCACACACATGACCCCACTCTTTAAGCCAGGATGGCCCTCAGCAGGGAGGAGGCAGAATCGCCTGGTGGATGTCATGATCCATGTATTATATTTCCTCACATTACTTTCTGCCCTCATCCATCATGTCAAAGTTGTATTTTGTATATTAGAAAGTACTTTTAGGTTAACTGGCTCATTAAATCTTCCCAAGAGCATGGTGAAGCAAGCAGCATTCCCATTTTGTGGGCTAGGGATTCTGGGAGCCTGTGTGGCAGTTAAAGTAGGGTCAGGCAGAGCCAGCCCCTGCAGGGTTTCAGCCACAGGTTCATTTGAGTGTGTGATATGAATACAGGACCCGGACATAGCTGTAGAAGTGCTAGATGGGTGACATAACTTTACAGTGAGAAAGTTGAATATTAGTAAGGTAGAACATAAGATCTTAAAGTATTTTTTTTTTAAGAACAATAATGTATCAGTTAACTACTAACAGTATGTCATGCTGTGTAACAAAGCCTGTCAACATTCAGTGGCTTAAACAACCACCTTTCCTCCCTCCCTCATGGTCAGCTGCAACTTAAATGGACTAAGTCTGACTTTAGCTTCCAGGTCTGGCTCAGTCTGTTCCATGTGCATTATTCTGGAAATTATACCAGGGCACAATCTCTCTCTAGGGCATATTTTCTCATAACTCTGATGAAAACTCAAGGGGGCAAAGCCAAAGACCTGAACCCATCTCATGTCTCTGTTCCTATCATATCCACAAACAACACTAGTCAAAGCAAGTCAAATAGACCAGCCCAACATTAATGTAGCAAAGACAGAGGTAAGGAGAATGAAAGATTAGGAGCAATAACGCAGTCTCTCGTGCATACCACACACAAAATGCACCAGTCATACATTCAGTGAATTGTTGTAAGGTGACACATCCAGATGAAGACAGAACGTTAATGCCCCAGAAGTCCTCCTTGTGCCCATTCCTAGTCACCATCTATCCCCCACAACATAACCACTCTTTTGACTTCCAGCATTATAGATCAGTTCATTTTTGAGATTTTCATAAATGGGATCATACTGTTGTACCCTTTGTGTTTGGCTTCTTTTGCTCAACATTATCCTTGTGAAAATTACCCACATCATTGTGAGGTTGCAGCAGTTTCTTCATTTTAATTGTGTGTGTGTATTATATATTTTATGTGACTACATCACAGTTTAACTATTCTACTTGATGGAAATTTTAGTCATTTCCAGTTTGGGGCTATTGTGAACATCACAGCTATTAATATTCTTGCACATGCTCTTTGGTGGACTTTCTTTTCTTTAGGTTATATACCTCGGAGTGCAATTGCTGCATTGTAGGATAGGTCTATATTTGACTTTAATAGATCTGGGCAAACAGTTTTCCAAAGTGATTGTACCATTTTATACTCTTGCCATCCGTGGATGAGTTCCAGTATCAGTGATTTGTACTTAGTCTTTCTTAAACCCATGACAGCATTTAATTGTGTGTTCTAGGTATAGCATAAGGGCCTAAGCACCAATATATCACCTCACTTAATTCTCACAACATTTGGATCAGTATCTAAAATGCTGATAGTTCTCAGCTATAAACTGCAGATGACAATAACAAGAGATAGCTAAGGAAAGCTCTTCCCCACCAACATATCCCATATTCTGGAGGCCTATGTAACAGTTAAAGTTGGGCCGGGCAGAACCAGCTGCAAGATTCTAGCAGCGGTGGACACAGTTACAGGAGAGCACTAGCTACACACCTGACCAGTGTGGCCCCAGGGAAATGCACACAGTGGTAAGCTCTCTGTGCTCTTGTTTTTATGAATTAACTAAGGATGGCCATGTTGTAACTATTTCAAAATAAGATCAGGGAGCAGATAGCTTTGGTTTTAAGATTTCAGACAATTACTGAAGCTTATCAGTGGTCCTTGTATCTGAAGATAAATCAGACAACAGACATCTAGAGTCCCTCAAAGGCCAAGGCAAAGGTTTTCTATCTAAGGTGTCAGTTTATAAGGTAAGTTTACCTCTAACTGAGGCTTCTGCTGCAGAGCTTTCTTACACCAACACTGTGGAAGGTTTTCAGGTTAACTAGAATCTGATTAAAGGAAAGAGCGTTCTTCCTATTCCTTCCTAGGGCTTGGATTTATGGTTTCTTTCTAATTCATCTTTTACCCTGGGCTGAAACTTCATGTATCTTCAGTATCTGCTGGTCTTCCTTTGCACTCCCTCCATGCCCCCAAGATGACCTACCCATGGTCCCTGGGTGACGATGGCTTGACTTAATGATTTTTTGACTTTACAATAGCACAATAACAATGGGCATTCCATAAAAACCATATTTTGAATTTTACATTTGGATCTTTTCCTGAACTATCAATAGGAGATATAGTCCTCTTCCACACTGGGCAGCCAGGAGCCGGAGCCCCAGTTCCCACTCAGCCCGACAATCACAAGGGGACTGTGTTGCTAAGCTATGAAGTTCGGAAGACTATGTGTACTAAATACATTTTTGATTTATTCTATTTTCAACTTGCAATGGGTCTCTTGAAATGTAATTCCATGGTAAGGAGAGGAGCAACTGTGCTAGCACTTGACAGTGTTCCCCTTGTGCCCCATCAGGCTGTCTGGCAGATGGTTCTTTGGCATTTTCTTTTTAAAGCTTTCCTTCTCCAGAAGACTCCTCTGGAGAAGCTTGCAGCCCTACCCACATGCTCAAGGTGGCCTTGTCATTCAGACAAGAGTGTGTGTGTTAAAGACAACCCAACTAGGTTTGGAAATTTTCCTCATCGGTTCCTATAGTGCTCTTGAGAGCCGTTCATCACATGTCCATTGAGCGCTGTTCTAGAACCAAGGATCCAAGAGGGGAGCAAAGCAGGTGTGGCATTTGTTCTGGAGCAGCTGCCAGTTTTAATTGGGCTAAGGATTGGAACAGATAATGTAAATAAAGCAGTTACAAACAGATTGATGCTCTGAAAGAACTGGAAGGTCACTAATAGCGGGTGGCAGCTCTGTATAGCACAGATGCATCCCACAGTTCAAATAGCTTTCTAAAGGGTGATGGGGCGCAGCTCACAACAGTGAACAAAAAGCACCTGCTGCTCCGAGTCCTCCTCCACATTATGCGCCATCTAACAGACCACACCCTCCTTTCTCAACTCCCCCTGGGCCCTGCCTTCTACTTGGTATTAATAGATGCTACCTGGCAAAAAGTGATCTTTCACAAATTGGACTCAACCATCTAGGTCAGGAGCTCTCTTGTTGCATCTTGATTTCCTCAATCTTTTGGGACTTTATTGACTCTGTAGTGTCTGTTGACTTATTAGCTCAGTCTCCTTCACCTAGTCCCCCAGCTGTGCTCAAACAACAGGCAAGGAGGCTCTGTAGTATTGCTCATCTTCAGCTGATTAGTTGTTCAGGAACTCAGGGCTGCCTCTGCTTATTCTCTAGCCCTCATGTGCCATTTCCTTGGGCTTAGAACTCCCATCCCAAGCCCCGACACTCCATAAACACAAAATTCAGAGAAGGTAGAAATATATATGTGGACGTAGCTCTAAGCAGACACAGCTCCAAGTATGTGGCCAGCATCCCAGTGAGCCTTCGCGTCTTCAAAAGCTGCATATTTTCCAGTTGTTTTATTATTTTTGGCAAAATGCCCAGACTATGCTAAAGGAATTAGCCCTTGTCTGGACAGAGCTCTTAGCTAAAGGGCTTCCTCCTTCTGTCCCGCTCCCAGTG